TTAGGATTGGGATCAGAACTAATTGAGGATGAGAATATATTGATGAAGTAAATGTTTAGGATTGGGATCAGAACTAATTGAGGATGAGAATATATTGATGAAGTAAATGTTTAGGATTGGGATCAGAACTAATTGAGGATGAGAATATATTGATGAAGTAAATGTTTAGGATTGGGATCAGAACTAATTGAGGATGAGAATATATTGATGAAGTAAATGTTTAGGATTGGGATCAGAACTAATTGAGGATGAGAATATATTGATGAAGTAAATGTTTAGGATTGGGATCAGAACTAATTGAGGATGAGAATATATTGATGAAGTAAATGTTTAGGATTGGGATTAGGACTTAGCGAATTAGAATATATTGATGGAGTTAATGTTTAAAATTAGGATGAGGCTTGAGCGGATTAATGTTTATAGGATTAAGATTAGGACTGAGGAAATTATTTTTAGTGATAGAATTAGGATTGATTAATGTTTAGGATGTTTAGGATTAGGATTATGACTGAGCAGATTAATGTTCAGGATTACGATTAGGACTAAATGAATTAATGTTCAGGATTAGGATTAGGACTTGAAGGATTAATGTTCTTCAGGATTAGGATTAGGACTGAGCGGATTAATGTTCAGGATTAGGATTAGAAATGAGTGAATTATTGTTTAGGATAAGGATTGGACGGATTTATTTTTCGGATAAGGATTAGGACTGAACGGATTAATGTTCTTCAGGATTAGAATTAGGACTGAGCGTATTATTGTTTAAGATTAGGATTAGGACTGAGCGGATTATTGTTTAAGATTAGGATTAGGACTGAGCGGATTATTGTTAAGGATTTGGATTAGGACTGAGCGGATTATTGTTTAGGATTAGGATTAGGACTGAGCGGATTATTGGTTAGGATTAGGATTAGGACTGAGTGGATTATTGTTTAATATTAGGATTAAGACTTAGCGGATTATTGTTTAGGAAGAGGACTAAGTGGATTATTGTTTAGGAATAGGACTAAGTGGATTATTGTTTAGGATTAGGATTAGGACTGAGCGGATTAGAGGATGAAGAAACAGCAAACCAACTTATTTCTGTTCTTCAAAAGTTGTTTCCTCACCTTGCCTTGAAAATAATAGGTAACATTTACTCAATGTATTTCCTTATCTTTTAACAACAATTTATTTTTTCTTTTGAAATTTTCACATTAGACATTATATATGTTCATATATGCTTATCATCTTGGGAATGGGATGTTTAGTGGGCAAAATTGATTGAGGAAACCCGTGGTTAAGTAATATTTTTAATTTTCCAAAAAGTAGTTTTACACAATTTTAATTCTCATTGAGATGAAAATGCACGTTTTTTTCATGAAAACTTCGCAGAGCGATTGGTTATTTTAAATAATTGTCCTCAAGGGACGTTAAGTCACTTAACGTCCTTGTGTTGTAAGAATAAAAGGTCGGTAATGTCGGTAAAATGAGAGCTGTAAATTAGATTGTTGTTAAAATAATATTTGAAAGTTTAGATATATAATATATTTTAGCTTGTAGTGATACCAGGGGAACCCTAGCCACAGCAACCCAGGTACTTTATATTTTGCTTTAAAGGGATTGTGAAGATATTGGAGTAATGTGGGAGGTACCAATAATAATTATGAATGGAAACAATACCCATATTTTTGAAATTAGGATTAAAAATTAACCGATTTCTCAACATATTCAGCGAGTATAAAAAGAACTATAAATTGTTTCCAAATTTATAATAGCATTTTTCAAGGAAAACTGGATAATCATGCAAATATTGTAGTTTTTTAAATCTTTTATATATTTATAAATATAACTTACGAAATATTAAAAAAAGGGTTTTTGGAAAAAACGCTGCAATGATTATTACTCTGACACGTATGTACAATGTACATGTATTATGTGACTTTTACGCTTTTGACAATCAAGTTTTTTTTTCTTAACAATTCCTGGAAAAATTTTTTACTCACTTTATTCCATGAAATATAAACAATTTCAAGCTGAACAAACATTATCTAGCTTACTCAAGGGAAGGATATGGTAAGAATGAGTAAAACAGTAAAAGTAGGAATTAGAGCATGCACATTTTGTAAACAGTGCATGTTTATTTATTATTGATATGTTTATTAATATAAAATTAGTTTTTTTACAACTAAAGTTGATCAAGACAATTTCCGGACATTATTATTTGATAATTTTAGTGATGTGAATGGAATATCAATTTATTGAATTTTCTTTGCTGCTCATCACAGAAAATGGAAAATGTTAAAAAAATATAATTTTCATTGTTATTATTTTACAATCTAAATTTTAAATATTTTTAATTATAATTTGTTCAATAGATTTCTTTGGACAAAGCGTTGAACACTTATTTGCATTCTTCAATAATTCAAAGAGTTGCAGGTCTTATTCTCAATGGTACCCTTTAAACCCTTGTAATTTTTTTCTAAAAATAATTATTTAAAATTTTGGTTTATCTTAAAAGGTTCCTTGCGGATTTATACTGCAGGGGTAATGAAGAAAAATTATCAGAATTCAACACTTTTAAAATCTAAAAACGACAAGATCTTCCTAGTTGTTCTCTGATTATGGATTTGAGGGTACCGTTGTGAGTTGTACATGCCACTCTTTTTAAAGAGGGGGTCACTTTAAACTATGCCTACAGTCTCTCCATATGTTTACTAGACTGGTGGTATAGTACTGATTGCCGGAACCGGAAGCAATGGTCTTCTTCTCAATAAAGATGGGTCAGAGTATAGGTGTGGAGGCTGGGGTCACATGATGGGTAGGATTATATAGATATCAAAAACAAAAAAATTAAATTAAAGATTAAATAAATTTTTATCTTAGTCATCATCGTTTTCAGCTTTATCATCATATCAAAATTATCAACATTATAATTGTTAAAATTGTTATCATTAATATCATCATATCAACGTTATCAAAATTATAATCATTATCATCTTTATAATTGTTTTCATTGTTATCACTGTTATCATCATTATCATCATTATCATCATCATCACTGTTATCATCATTATCATCATTATCATCATCATCACTATTATTATTTTTATCATCACTATCACCATTATTATCATTCTCATTCTAATAATTTTTATAATTATTGTCATTCTTATCAGGATCATCGTTAGCATTGTTATCATCATTATCAATATTGTCATCTCTATCATCATCTCTATCATGATTATTATGATGAAGGTGATGAGGGAGGTGCCTGGTGGATTGCTAACCGAGCTTGTAAACTATATTTCGATTCATTGGACAACATTGTACACAACAAAGATATCAGGAAATTTTTCTTTCTGAAAGCATATCTTCGTTTGGAAGTCTGATAGTTAAAAAAAAAGAAAGCTTTGCTTGAACTTTGCTAAAGTTTGTATATCTACTGTAAAGAAGACCATTCAAATATTAATATTTTAGAAAAATTATCAAGAAAGAATGTATGAAAAAGACAGATAACTCAAGTTTACTAATCTCCCGTAAACTTGCAATCTTATTGTTTTTTAAAATAAATACTATAAAAACCCAGTAATATGTTAATGTTTAAATTTAAAAAGGAAAAAACTTTAAGTCTGATAGAAAAGCTGATCTTTGAGCACTTCAGCATAAAAGATAGGTAGAAATCTTCAAATTATAGAAAATAAAATATCTGAATCTCCCACAACTGTTATTGTATATAAAAATGATCACAAATTGTTAAAAATACTAAAATGTAAAAAAATTATGAAATTTAATTTTTATGATTTAATAAAAAAATTAAAAAATTGTTTTGTTAAGGTTTGGAATGCTCTATCATCTGTATGAAAACTTTAACAAATCCTTCTTTGCATCTCTAACCAGCAAACTTGCTGCTGCAGCTAACCAGGGTTAGATATTATTTATCAAAAAGAAAGAAATTTTTTTGTTAGAAACATAGTTTATGCTTTTTTTAAAGAGACTGTCTATGTAATTATAAATGACCCTGTTTAAAAGATTTGCATGCTGTATTCTGATTCACAACCTTTGTCTTGACATAAGGGAGGGCAATACGCTTGTTTTTCTAAATGAAAATTGATAATTGCGTCTATCTAGAACTTTATACAAGAGGTAAGGAAGAACAATTTTAGAATTTTTCAATACATACCTTGAAGTCAGGGGCGGATACAGGGGGGAAATCCTGTATCCGCCCCTGCCTGAAGTGTTTTATTTCTTCAGGCGATGAGATTTGTATTAAACTGTTTCATGATGCTGGAGCAGCACTTGGGAACCATGTTAAAGCTCTTGCTCCAAATGTTCACAGGTATCCACTTTTCAAAAATACTAATTTGATTTTAAATTATTAAGAATATTTCAAATGTAAAAAAGCATTGAAGAAACATGATGAAAGGAGAGGATGCTTATCCATCAAGACCTACCTCAAAGATTAATAAATTGGGTCACAAGTACTTAAGCAATCTGTAATCTGTATGTCTGAATTGTATTTTGTAAGTTGTAAATAGCTGAAGAGAATGATATTTATAACAGAATTGTCATATTATAAAGAAAAAGCATCAGTTATTTTGAGTTGTTTATCATAAAAATATGTCTTTCATTGGTCTAATAAAGATTGTGAAAAATGCGGGCTCTTTCTAAAGGTTTTCAGAGTTTTCATGAATTTTTGTTCCATATATACCATATATTCTTTTTAGGAATTCAATGTTTAGAAATGTATGTAATTATAATTTTGACAATGAACTATATGTAGTAGAACAGATTGGCGACTTGTTTTTTTACTGCATTTTTTTCTTATTTTAATTTAGTATTTCTCTGGACTTCAGAATGATGGGTGGTCTGCTAATAATAATAATAATGATGTACATCTTTACAGTCTAAAATTTCATTCCATTTTACATTTGAAAATATGTTTAACATATTAAATCTGTAAAGATATGTTAAAAGCATAACAGAGTTACAACTTTAGCTTTATTTTATCAAGAGATAATCATATTGAATAAAAACAAACAATTTTGAAGCTTGACATTTTATTACCAATTTCCAACAGTTTTTTTGGCACATCAGAGTTCATGTTTTTTATAACTATGTTTAAGCAATAAAGTGCATTACTGCTGATTTCTTAAATTTTGTCTAGAAAAGAAATATATAAGTGGGCAAAACAAATTGTTAAATGAGGTTAACAAAAAAAATATAGTAATTTTATGTTAAAGAGAGTTTTCTTAGATCTCCAAACTTTACTCTCTCTTTTGTTATATATATATGTATATATATATATATATATATGTGTGTAATCTTAGTATTACCCGTACATCCACTCAAATTGGTTCTAGAATCGGAATCTAAAACTACCCTAACTAACCAGTTCTTGCTGCTAACAGAATAAGACATTAATATGGTATCGCATATAAAATTAAAAGCATGTATTGCTGTATACATCATTCTGACATCTTTACATTATAGAGCAGGGGCACTTAGATTCACTCTGGATTCTGTAAACACACCAATCTCTTTTGGTGCTATGTACACTATGTACAGGTATCTAGACACTAGACCAGCTGTACATAAAACGATCATGAACAACTTGATGAAGATAATGGTACTAAGTGGGATTATCAGCACTCTGCATGTATTTGTGTGGTCCTTCATGGTCAATGTGTTACATCAAACTACTAAACACCTAGTTGAGGATCACTCTTCTCTAATGTGTAGCTTAACTGAAGCAAGGCCGCCTTTTCTAATGTTCGCAATGACAGTGTTTTTCCTACAGATCTCAAAACTGTATCTTGTGCTCTTCCCTCACAGCTTCTTCAACTTCAACCATGAGCTAGGGACAAAAGCAAGTATATTTCTGATAGTAATAACCTTGGTATCCGAGATATTGTTCTGTGTTGGACTAAATGGACACTACTGCTTGAAACCGCACTTCAATATAATAGCTTACCAGTTAAACATCCAAGCAGAGGCATCCACAATACAAATATTTCCATGGTTGGGAATTCAGATGGTTGTTGGTGTTCTAGCAGAAATTACTTCAAATACTTTGCTTCTGTACAGAGCATGGAAGCAGAGAAGAACTACTGCACCAGCACCACATCTACAACCCTTTGTAGTATCAGTTAATGGTCCAAATATTCTAGCCCCAGTCAGCAATGCTTTGCCTTTGAACCAAGAACCCCAAAACTCCAAGGAACAGACAATTACTAAAAATTTTACATTGATTGTTTGTGCATTAGTGTTCTCTTTGATCTGGTTAAATATTATAATGGACTTCACAGAAAGCACAGAGATGGTCAAAAATGTTTCTCTAACTCTCACCTTAGTCTTCTTTCAAGTAGCAAGAAATCTAGTTCCTCTAGTGTGGTTGACCAGTTGCGATGAGACAATTGAGTTTGCTTCTAGGTTGTTTAAAGACAAGATAATCCTCTGCCCTACGGTGATCCAGAACATGGTTTCAAGATTTGTTAATCTTGAACTGATGGACTAACTCAAAAATGTTGTCGACTTGTAATTCTTGTATTTTAGTCAATAAAGATGTAGTTTCTTATATTAATTTATTCTTTTTTTTCTTATATCTGCTCTTGAGAAAATATGATTACTTGAGTGCTCATTTAGTTATTACAATAAAATGGTAAGTACAAGATAATCTTTTGAATTATCTTCGAATTCATTTCATTATCCATTTTTCCGAATGATGGATAAAAAAATCCATAAAACTCCATGGGATTTTCAAGTATGTGTTGGTGATTCCATATACAGGGTGAGTCAAAAAAAGTGTGATTAGTGGCGCCTGGTACAATTTTTCACCAGGTGCCGCTAATCAAACTTTTTTTATTCAACCTATATATATATATATTCAATCACTTTACATTATTTATTTATTTTCATTATTTCCTTCCAACATAATTTTTTTGAGTGCAGATTAAGTTTTTACAAGACAATGTTAAGTACAAGCTTATCTTTTTAATCTTCTTCAAAGTACATTTCATTATCCATTCTTCCAAGCAATGGATAAAAAAATCCATAGAACTCCTTGCAGGGGATTTTCAAGTATGTGTTGGTAATTCCACGTATGTATATCACTTTATATCACATATGTATATCACTTTAAATAGATTCATTTTAATTTTTTCCTTCCAATATAATTTTTTTTCTCTGAATTTAATTTTAATTGATTTCTAAGTTGTGAACTGCGGGCATAATAATTACATACATAAACAAGATTAATTAGTGATAATTATATGTAAATACATATTTATGACTGAAGAAACATGTGGACTGAAAATCTGTTTTGTTTTTATCTTAATGAATTTTTTTTCTTTTTAAAGTTAATATTATCAGCAAAGATAAAATTAAACAATGAATAACCTGAGGATTTTTCATCCTGTGGAAAAATGGATAAATTGAAGAACAAATTTGAAGATTAATTAAAAAAAACATCATCAGAATAGAAAGAGAACTGAACTTGAACTAAAAAAAAATTTAAAAACAGGTTTACTACACACTGAAAGTTTTATTTGATTTTGGTTTTAAACAAAGTCTTTTATAGGTTAAGTAAATGGTAAAGAAAGAAATTAGTATTAACCCTGTAAAGGCTGGGGGTCAGAATCTATGTATAGAAAAAGGCCTTAGAGAATAGGTATAGTGTTGAAATGCATGTTCATAGCCCACAGATTATTGAAAATAAATTAGATTGATAACTTTTATAGTTTAGGTGCTAGGGAGGGTTGAAAAAAAATACCAAAAGAGGACAAAAACATGCTAGAAAATATTTGTTTTTGTTTAAAATAAATATCAGTGTGTGACACATGTTTTTACACCCATTTTTCAAGGGCTTTTCATCAATATAGTATTTAGATCTGTAGCTTTAGTAAAAAAAAAGTTATGGGCTATTTTTTTTAAATCCCTCAAATTACTATTTATTAACAGTCAAAAAATGTCACGATGATAGTGTCAAAAATGAGAGAGCTAGGGCAAGAAAAGCTGGGGGGGGGCGCCAAACGACCCACGATTAGTGTTAGGAAGTTTTGTTTCTGAAGTTCTTCAAGGGTAACCCTGAAGGAAACTGAGATAAATATATACTTTACTGTTTAGGCCTATGATGGAGGGCGAAGGTGGACTAAAGGTAACTTTTTCACCCAATTTCATTCTTGAGAACTAAATAGATTACAACAAAATCTAAATGAAGACAATCCTATTGTCAATTATTTGGGGCAATTGAAATATGAAATGGCAAGTTCAAATTCTAGGCTCCAAACTTTTTAGCTGAATTAATTTAGCTGAGATGATTTTACAGGAAAAGTTAATTTGTGAATTTTGGGAAAATTATGAAAAAGGTGAAAAACGATCTAAATACTTTTCATTCTTTCCCCTCAATTTCTTAAAAACAACAATTGGGTAGTTTAAACAGTTTCATTTCAGTTAATAATTTAACCTTCAAGCAATAACACTGGGACCCATAAAACTGTGAAATAGAAAGACGACTTTAAGACTATTTTTACAGTAATAACCAGAAAACTTATGGATTAGGAAGACGACATTTAGACTCTTTAAGTATGTCTTAAATAGTCCAATAAAAATGACACAGTAATTGTGCAGTTTAAACAGACCCATTTCACTCAATAAATGATTTAATAAGCTACTGTAAAACTATTACTGTTGGTAACAACATCAAGTACACTTAATTATAGCTTAAATGTCAACTTCATTTTCCACTGTTATATGGCTCCCACTGTATTAAAAGGTTGTTTGTGTTGGTTCTGTGTGGAAATCTTGGAGTCTTCTGAAACCAGGCTTCATTCAGGCAGTTGCTCAATCTCAGGCAACATTTATAACATTTTTACAATATTTTTAATATTGAAGCATTTTTGATAAAAAAAACTTGTTTAATTTTTGTTTTGTTTTAGAGCATACCTGAATTGAGTTTGGTGGAACTTGCTGTGGGTAAGTTTTAGATTATTCTTAAATATTCTTATAGTTTTTAAATTATAGTTTATTTGTTTGTCAAATTGTTAAAATTGCTGTATTTATAATAACTGCAGACGTCAAAATTTTCCCAGGGACAATTTTTTTGAATTTTGATCAGCATTAAGGCTTCCCTTAGGCCCTATCGGTGTTGCCGTTTTGACAGTTACTGGTTACAAAGAAAGAAAAAAACAAATAAGCAAAATATATTTGTAATTTTATTGAATTGATCTATTAATTTCACTGCAAACTAGACACAAGAATAAGGTCAAATTTATGCGACAATACTGGTACGAAATAGTGACCTCGTAGCTCCTCCAGTTTTGATTTCACGCACAAGTATTGGAAAAAGCAAATTTATTCAGCTAAATTTTAGAAATTTAAAATCTTTTTTGTTCTTCTCAATAGCTCTTAATTGAGAGGGGTAATAATGATTAAAAAACATAATATTTTAATTTTACTGCAGTTTACTTTAGTTTAATGTGATTTATTAATGCTTGTTCATGTGGAGTTAACTTTAGCTTAACGTGATTTATTAACGCTTGTTTACGAGGTACAGTTCCAATATAACTCTTCGAAAAGGTAGAGTTTCAATATAACTCTTGGAAAGGTAGAGTTCCAATATAACTCTTGAGGAGGTAGAGTTCCAATATAACTCTTGAGGGGGTAGAGTTCCAATATAACTCTTGAAGATGTAGGTAGATTTCAATATAACCTCCTGGTAAGAAAGAAAGGGGGGGGGTCTAATAAGACTCTTAAGGTGGTAGAGTTTCGATATAAGCTCTGGGATAGGGTTCTAACATAAACTGAAAAGGTCTAAGAGAAGAAGAGTTTAACGGATTGTAAGTGATGACGTGTAAAAGGTTTGAAGGTTCTAGAAGGAAAAGATTTGAAATAAACGATAAATAAAAAAGAATTAGAGTATGTGTGTTATCACAAGAGCTGAAAAGCAAAGACTGAGGAAAATACCTGCCCGCCCCACTAGGTCGGTGCAGCTGACAGTAAAACCCCCTGCTTCCACTGACCCGGGCAGGTAGTGTACAATTCGTCATAACCCCCCGGCAGACAGGTCTCCAGGGGCCTAGACAACAAGAGTTAACTTTAGCTTAATGTGATTTATTAACGCTTGTTTACGTGGAGTTCACTTTAGCTTAACTTGATTTTTTAATGCTTGTTTACGTGTAGTTTACTTTAGTTTAACGTGGTTTATTAATGCTTGTTTACATGGAGTTTACTTTAGCTTAACGTGATTTATTAATGCTTGTTTACTTGGAGTTTACTTTAGTTTAACGTGATGTATTAATGCTTGTTTACGTGGAGTTTACTTTAGTTTAACGTGATTTATTAATGCTTGTTTACTTGGAGTTTACTTTGATTTAATGTGATGTATTAATTCTAGTTTGTCTAGGTATGGCAACTGGAGCCACCTACCTTGGTGCTCAAGCTGCAGATTACAATCTTCCGAGGTAATCTTAAAGGGACTGTAATTTCAAGAGACCCTCTAATTTAAAGGGACATTTCCGATTCACAAGAGTACCGTTATCTGTTTAAAAGGACAAAGATCTCTATAAAAATGATTTAAATGCTATTTATGGAGAAAAGCTAAATTGTAAGAATTTAAAACTTTTAAAGAAAAAATTGGTCATACGCTTGAAATTGTCTACAGTGATAACCAGAAAACAATGAAATAGGAAGACGACATTATAGCAATACTCAAGTGTATTTGATGGTGTTACAAAGCGAATTGTTTTACTAGACACTTATAAAACTACTTTTTTTGTTAAATGGGTCTGTTTACGCAGCACAATTGCTGTTTTTCATGGTCATTGAACTTTTTAAAGTTAAACTTAATTTTCAAAGTCGTCTTCCTATTCCAGAGTTTTCAGGTTATCACTGTAGGAGGTCACTTATAGTTCCATAAAAGTTCCTTAAAAGCCCTTAACAGAATTTTTAAGTAATTTTGTTAATTTTATATTTTACTAGGTTTTGACAGAATATATGTTCTTTTTCAAAATCTATTTCACTAAAAAATATTAATTTAGAGACTATTCTAAAAATGTGAAGCAGTTCTTCCACTACAAGAAAGAATCAAGCTAATAACAAAATATTGTAAAGACAATTATTACTAATTCTGAAATTTTGTGCCAGTATTTTTTTTTTATTATTATAAATTAATAAGTTTGCTAATCAAATATTTGACAGCTCTAAAATAATGATTTGTTAAAGAGATTCTGGTTAAAAATTATGAGAACATTTTAGCCAATTTTTTTTATTTTCATATTTTTAGTAAGTTAAACATTTTGTTTTGTTATTTTTAGATGGTGTTATTAGAACACTCTTCTTATAGTTTGTGTCTGTTTTTTAGGGTTGCTAGAGCAATCTCTTTTACTTTTTACATTCATATTATGATAGTTTGTAAGTTTTTTTTCTCATATTTTTTGTCTCTCAAATTTTGTATATTGTATATTGAATACCCAACACCCATTCATCAGAAATCCCCGAACCGTTGTAGCTTAAAATTTGTTAGGGTTGTATTTCCTGAATTGGGGGCAAAGAATACATTTTGGGCTAAAAGTATCCCAAAAGTATTTTTAAAACTGGTTTTTTAATTCCCATTCATCATTCCCCCCCCCCCCCAATCATCAAAAATCAGTTTCCTTTAATTATTCTTAAATTTATATATAATATACCTCAGGGCGGGGGGTCTATATAGGCCCAATGCCCATAATTCTTTATCGCTTCATTGTTTATGTCTCCGTGAATAAATCTCAAATTGTGTGGCTCCAGATGTTGGTCTAATGTCAACTGGAAACTTTTGATGGAACAAAATTAGAATTAGTTTTAAGGATTTCTCCCTCTCTCATATTTTACAAGTTGAGTGTTTAGATAGATAATGACTTTTTTATTACCAACCAATGTTAATTTGTTTCTTTTATTCAAAAGATACCAACCATAGATTAAAGGGTTAATTGATAATTTTTCATAAATATTTATAACATCTGTAACGGACGAATTTACTAAAAAAAAATTCTGATTTTTACATTTAGCTGCTGTAAACTTTATATATAAAACCCTCATAATTTATTTCACATTATTTCATATTGGGACTAAGCCCCTCTAGAATGTTTCCATGAATGATACTGCCAGATCTAAAATACGTTTCTGTATCTTTTGGGGGTTTCCCAATAGTTTAAAATCTTTATATCCAGGGCTGAGAGGAAAATGGACAATACACAATTGACACTTTAAAGTCTGTCCGGTCTCAAAGCAGTGTGGAACTTTATGATGGATTTAAATCCTATATTGTAATCAGTCCTCCCTGTTTTATTGCCTATTAATTGATTTCATGAAGATTTTGGGGTTCATGCATACTTACAGTTACTCAACATTGACATTAGCATGATGAAGGAGGGAGGGGAGGGGGGAGTTGGAAAGGATTAACTGGAACCACTCGAGATCATCATAAGGTTAAATAACTGTATGTATTTAACCCGTTGATATTTTTAAACTTTTGTCAGGATAATTGAATTCAGACCGGGTCGGAGTGGGGTATAGAGTTAAAATATAATTTGAGATTTAGATTGATAATCAGACGATAGATTCATAAATAGGACTGTCCGGAGTAAACTTGTCCGTCTTCACTGTTCATCTTGCGGAGACATTATGGACACATCTTTACAGTCATTTACCGTCTTTACAAAATAAACACTAGTAGACATATTAATATTAAGGCTTTTGAAATTGCAGGTTTTATACAATGCTAATTCATAACAATGACAATATCGAATATGTCACTGCATTCCCATGTTTTTTGGGACGCCCTGTATAATAATCCTTTTGTTATATTTAATTAGATTAAAGAAGCGCGGATAGAGCTTCAACTTTATATTTCAGATTTCGATAATTTTGGTTTTATTTAATAAATTGAAATCTAAATGATACTAAAGGGTATCCCATTAAACATGGGAATTCAGTGACGAAGTCGAAAACGTCTTTTTAAATAATTCTTTGATTTAGTATATGTGATACCTACTCTACCTACTGAAAAAGCTGTAATCCGTAAGAGTTTTGTCTGCTATGTTCACATTTTGTTTGTTTATGTTTTGACTGCATACGTTTGTATACAAACAGAGTAAACTTGTCCGTCCTCACTGTTCATTTTGCGGAGACATTACAGACACATCTTTACAGTCATTTACCGTTATCATAAAATAAACTCTAGCAGACATAATAATGATATGGCTTTTGAAATTAGGTATTACAATGCTAATTCATAGCAAAGACGATATCGAATTTGTCACTGAATTCCCATGTTTTATGGGACACCCTTTATCATATTTCTATGATAAGATTGTAAGCAAATTGCATTTTTTATTATTGTTACAAGAAGATGTGACTGTGAAGACGAGTGGATATGGAAAATAAAGAAAATAACTTACAATTACAGCCATAGGGAGTATGCATTTGATGTAGCTGACAGTGTTAATTCTGTATACAAGTCGTCTCTGAAGTTCTTTCAATCTTTGAATATAACAATTCAAAGGCTTATTTGGTGTTTAGCCGATAAATAAAAATGTCAAGGAAGCAGGCGTGTAAGAAAAAATACTAGATAAATTCCATACAGTCGTCTTTAGGTCTCATACTTTGTGCTTCACCCTGTAAAATAAATAGTTTTGCAATTAAGCATTAAAAACTTCTGGATAAAAGTTCAAATTATTCTGCGTGTTTATAGACAATTATCCTAACGGCAAATCTCTGACCTATAAATAAGTGCACACAATTCTTAAAATAATCAAACTTGTAATTTGAAACAGTTCACGCTGAACCTAATAGGTCAGATATAGTTTAGATTTATAGGTTAAAATTGGTACGCTTAGTCACAGCTGATCCTCATAGTTTTGATTTTACGCACCAATACAAGGATAAGAAAAGTAAATTTAATGTAACAGTGGGCGAGTTTTGTTGATCTTTTACGATCAGCAATTCAAGGATGTTTTGGATCGCTGAGATCATAGCTACCAAGGGGAATCATGCCCCCTTTCCCCCCCCCCCATCTTTAACCCTACGGTTGGACTTTAGAGTCCTATTTTGAATCCTAACGGATTTATTTGAGTTTGCATTTGGATTCTATAAATAACCCAAGCGACGCCGAATTTTCCGTTATCTTGAAGACCCAAGCGTTGGGGAGGGGGCGGAACAACCCCGTGGTAGCTAGGGTTAAATGCGATCCTAGGATGGAGCGAAATCGAAGGGGGACAGACAGTTGTGATTCAGCTCCCTTGAATTAAGGTTCCCTTGAAGAATTCCCCTACTAGTTGAAACTGATTGATTCATAATATTTAAGTTTGTATTTTGTATCGTTCGATTTAAAGTTTGTATTTTTGCATCTTTTGTATATAAATATATTGTAAGAAAAACCGACTCGTTGAATATTTGAGGAACTAAGTGCATTGCTTTATTGATTTTTATTCATATACTATATTAATTATCCATGATTACATTTTAAAAATTCAAAACATTCTTGTTTTTATCATTTAGTTCTGCAATAAGAAGGATAATGATTGGAAACAAAGAAGTTTTTAATCAAATGTGCAATTTATTTAAGTTAGACATGAGTGAGGTGTTTATTATTTAAGTTAGACATGAGTGACGTGTTATTATTTAAGTTAGACATGAGTGAGGTGTTTATTATTTAAGATAGACATGAGTGAGATGTTTTTTAATTTAAGTTAGACATGAGTGAGATGTTTTTTAATTTTAGTTAGACATGAGTGAGATGTTTTTAATTTAAGTTAGACATGAGTGAGGTGTTTTTTAATTTAAGTTAGACATGAGTGAGGTGTTTACTATTTAAGTTTGACATGAGTGAGGTGTTTATTATTTAAGTTAGACTTGAGTGAGGTGTTTATTATTTAAGTTAGACATGAGTGAGTTGTTTATTATTTAAGTTAGACATGAGTGAGGTGTTTATTATGTAAGTATCTATTTACTGTTTTAATAGGGATGCCGGCGTAATATTTTAAATACTGTAAAAACAATTTAGCAAAAGATTTTCATTTTTATTAAAAATACATTCAATGACCAAATTTGTGGAGGGAGGAAGAATGGTTCAACCTAAAATACCGTTTTCTGCATATATTTTACATCATTATATCTTATCTATACATATAAAGTTGTAATCTCTGTTTGTCTGTCTGTCTGGGTGTCTGTTTGTTTGTCCGACCTATAACTCAGGAACCCCTGAACCGATTTACCTCAAATTTCGATAGGGGAACTCAGGAGACCCACGGAATGTTATAAGCTTGGTTTTGAGATTCTAAGTTGAGTGGGTCGACTTTATTAGCGAAAATCTAGTTTCCCTGTAAAATCATTCAAGTGCGGGTAAACGGCGGCAGAAACTTTGAGTAATAGACAATAGAAATACATGTTTGTATCCAGATTTCTTAAATTTCATTGCAAAAGTATCAGAGCGTCCCTCTTTCTAGTAATAATCTTTTTTTGCTCATACAACTTTAGACCTTGCGTACATTTTGAACCGATAACTATGGAAATTTTACAGATCTGTTTTCATTTGCGGATTTTCAAAATAAAAGAAATTTTTTTGGACATAAATTTTGAGCGGCCTTTCATGTTAGTTACAAGTCTAAAAACCCTCTTACAAGTCTAAAAACCCTCTTACAAGTCTAAGAACCCTCTTACTAGTCTGTAAAACCCCCTACAAGTCTCAAAACCCTCTTACAAGTCTTAAAACCCTCTTACAAGTCTTAAAACCCTCTTACAAGTCTAAAAACCCCCTTACAAGTCTAAAAACCTCGTACAAGTCTTAAAACCCTCTTACAAGTCTAAAATCATCTTACAAGTCTAAAAACCCTCTTACAAGTCTAAAAACCCTCTTACAAGTCTAAAAACCTCTTACAAGTCTTAAAACCCTCTTACAAGTCTAGAAACCCTCTTACAAGTCTAAAAACCCTCTTACANTATATTCATTTAGTTAAGAGTTTGAGTTAAAATAAGTATTAATAGATATTGCTTTATATCGAGTAGATATCTTTAAACATATCGATGTGAAACTTTTTAGAGAGTAGGAAAGATTCTGCAGAAAAAAGTTGCCAAACCAAACAGAATTTTTATTTTGAACAAAAATATTTAGAACGTATATATAAGCTTTTCTGGGTTGCACTTTACCCTTAAAACCCTCTTACAAGTCTAAAAACTCACTCACAGGACTAAAACCCCATTTACAAGTCTAAAACCCCTCTTACAAGTCTAAAAACTCTCTTACAAGTCTAAAACCCCCCTTACAAGTTTAAAAACCCTCTTACAAGTCTAGAAACCCTCTTACAAGTCTAAAAACCTCTTACAAGACTAAGAACCCATTTACAAGTCTAAAAACCCTCTTACAAGTCTAAAAACCCTCTTACAAGCCTGTAAAACCCTCTTACAAGTCTCAAAACCCTCTTACAAGTCTTAAAACCCTCTTACAAGTCTAGAAACCCTCTTACAAGTGTAAAAACCCTTTTACAAGTCTAAGAACCCTCTTACTAGCCTGTAAAACCCTCTTACAAGTCTCAAAACCCTCTTACAAGTCTTAAAACCCTCTTACAAGTCTAGAAACCCTCTTACAAGTCTAAAAACCCTCTTACAAGTCTAAAAACTCTCTTACAAGTCTAAAAACCCTCTTACAAGTCTAAAGAACCCTCTTACAAGTCTAAAAACTCTCTTACAAGTCTAAAAACTCTCTTACAAGTCTAAAAACAATCTTACAAGTCTAAAAAACCCCTTACAAGCCTAAAAACCCCACTTACAAGGCTAAAAACCCTCTTACAAGTCTAAAAATATTGAATGTTTAAAACGATATCTGTCGGTAAAAATCCTCCACCTGTTTCCCAGCAGCAAAGACAACACCAGAAAATAAAGTAATTTAACCACAATGCTTGTAAACTTAAATATATTGCA